GAGTTCTAAGTAAGTCAGTTCTAGATGTAGTTAAGGCTTTAGAAAATTGATCTTCCACTAGTTTTGTGGGATAACCCTGATTGACTAGATAACCCTTGTTGCAAAAGAACAAGATGTGATCTCTGTCGCAACTACTTTGTTGAATCAAATTCTTTCCAAAGTTTTCAAAAAGTGAATAAATGTTTGAAAGAAAATTCGCCCTGAGTGGGATATATATATATATATATCCGTCGTGTTGTGGTCATTAAGAGCAAATGCCCACAAAATTCAAATATAGTCCCGTAAGACTTAAAAAATTAAATTCGCCGTACTTTTGCTTATAAGTAGGCCTCAGTAAAAGTAAAAACGCCATGTGTTTTCTTTTCTCAAATATTTCGGTATTTCCAGAAAAGCGACATTTTCGATTTCACCTCCTGGCATCAATTTAGCAAGTCCCAACCGAGTTGAAAATTGACCATTTTCATTCGATTCCCGTGTTGCATTTATCGAGTGCAGAAAAGTTGTAATACAACCAACTTTTTGCATAACTCTTCCTTGTCCAAAAAAGCACAATTACAGGAAAATTGGATTAATCTAATTATTTGGCGGTTAACAAAAGCAGAGTGTTCTCCGAAGTGGAGTTCGACAGTCGGTGAAAAGAATTGACATTTTGACCATGTGCCATATCTCGGAATTCCAAAAGATTTTAGATTCTAACTATGTAAAGATAGACCTTCCAAGATAGGCCTTCCAATATATGTTTAATATAAGTTTAGTTTGGGCAAATGAATAAGCACTCGACCGAAAAAATTATTCAAATCGTACAGAAAAATCAAAATCACGCCAGTAGTCGAATGCGTGACCAAACATTGCCACTGTATTTATAATTAATTTTAAAATCCCTTCAATTCGAAATATCCGCATTACTAAAGCACAATGCAACATAAATATGTTCACCTTAGCTCGGATATGATATTTTGACTGTCAAACAACGTTTCTCTCCAGTCATTTCTTCAATGGCGTTCCGCTAGGTTTGTAGGACGAGAACCTCCGTACCGGGCATCCGTCTGGTAGATTTGAACCACGAAAATCGATTTTGCGAAGTTCCTATGCAACCTAGACCTTGGTGGTTCGTTGTATTGCTCGATAGAATCACTCAACCTGTCTTGAAGCAGAAATTGCCAGTAAGTGACAAAGAATAAGCCGCCATTAGCCTGCGTAGCAGTCTTCTCTGTTTCCTCTAGGCGGGAGAAGGCGAGAGCCAAGGGGAAGTCGCGCGAACGCATGGGGCGAGAGCAAAAAGTTAGAAACAGCGCGCGCTCAAGCTCCCCTCCATCTCCCAGACATGCTTTTTTGACACGACAAATCTTTACAAACCCCTCCCCCGGTTCGCAGTTTTTCTTGCGCGTCCGAAGTCGCCCGACCTCCGCACGGAAATGAAATGTCGCGGGCAAATACCTGAAGTGTCTTAACAAGAATCCGCGTTTAAAATTGAGAGCTGGGGAAGGATTTTGTAAAGATTTGTTGTACCAAAAAACACGTGTGGGAGATGGAGGGGAGCTTGAGCGCGCGCTGGATGACGTCACTGGTACCGGTTCAATGTTGCGAAAAACGATTTGAGAAAAACCTTTGCAAAAGACGCTAAAATTCTCCGACTGTCTTGAAAGTATTCGAAAACAAATTCGGCCAAGTTGTGGAAAAATCTTTCTACTTCGTTTTGTGTTTGTTTGGTTTCCTGGAAGCAGCGAAATTTAGAGATTCAAGCGAATATTCGGATTGTGTTCAAAACGTTTAGCAAAGAGTTGCCTCCCTTGTCAATGTTATATGTAAACCAAAAAGAATTTTTGCAGAGCGCGAAAAGGCCTAGGTACCGAGTTTAGCGCTACAGTGTTACGTAGGACTTTTAAGTAGCGGTTGTCGCGTAAGAAATGACAACAGTAGACAAACGTAAATTGTATATGCTTTTCATTCCTCTATAACTCTTTCCTACTCAACAAGATCGTGTGCTCCCTATGATCGTGCTGAAATATTAAGCGAGTAAAAAGGATTCAAAATTCATCAATGGCTGTATTTAAATCACTAATGTCCTAGCATTAGTTTCCAGCCCCTAAAATCCCTCTTTCAAGGACGCCCGAATGGGGCCTGTATTTAAGTGGCCACGTATGGCCACTTGGTACGCAAAGGGTTAACAACACGGAGGACTTTCAAATGTCTTCAAAATAGAAACCCGAAAGTCGCATATTGAATAACGCTTTAGCAGTTTACTGCTTGCTAAACCAAAGGACACAAATAGCTCAGATTGTGATACGCGCAATGAATACATATGCATTTATGGACCAGAACCTGGCAGTTATTGTTTTTCTACAAATTCTGACGACTGATGTGGGCCTCGTCGAAAGCGCCGCTGAAAATATACAGGGAAAGAAACATTTTGCAGAATTCAGGATGTTACAAATCGAAAAGGGTAAGCATGTTTATTATATTTATACCTTTGTAACGCTGACGTTTCGAACCGAAGTAACATCAGTATGTAGATGGCGGATACAACTGACGATAGGACTCGCTAAACAGTGAGTCTGAAGGTTAAATCGAAAATGTTGTTTGTATTCTTGCTAGGAGCTAGCTGTATGCAAAAGGGGAGCGAAATTGAGTTGTCAAGCCTTGCCGAAAAAAATTGATTTTGTTTGATTCTTGTTGGGATTTGCTCTCAAATACATTTCATCATCCTTCATTGTTTCATAGATCAACCACAGAGTTACATCGCTAGCTATTTGTTTCCATTGCCTTTTGCCTTTCTCAGGGCGATAGAAGCCGTGACTTAAGTCATGATCAAAGAAAGATATATAAATTAGTATAAAAGTCTCTATAGATAGGCAAGTAGATAAATAGCATAACATACATACTTAAGCTAGTTAGTATTTTATCCCCGGAGTTGATCAACAACTGATTTCTCCGTAAAAAAACAGCTATTGTTCGGCAAATAGGTAACAAGAATAATGAATATGATCAACTAGAGTCACCTTTCTGACAGCGCTGAAAAGGTTTGTTGGCGTACGAAGATGGAGATCAAACAACAGGACTATACTGTGTGGATCACCAATGGTGCCGACCGCTGACTGGATAGCTTCAGTCTTGTGAAATGCACCGGAACGTTTCAGAACTATGTAATTCTTTAGTGAACTTCTGTTTAAATGAGGCAAAAAAAAAAAAAATGCTTGCAAAAATGTATTATAAATTCAAGAAATCAGTAACTTTTGGCTTCTGTTCTCCATTGCTACTTGCAATTAATGCAGGTTTGCACAATGACTCTGGACCCACTGTTTGACTAAGCAAGAATCGAGTTAGAAGCGAATTATTATCTGTATGGTCTATTACTCGAGCCTCCACTGACCATTTGAAATGGCAGTTAATACGTAAAAGCTAACCTTTAAAACAAATCTGTAAGTTGGCGTGGGATTGGGAAGGAGGGGGGGGGGGGG